GAACCCCGAATACGCTACCTGGAGTACTATAGGATAGGATGGAAAGTCTTTATTGTCAGCCTGATTCTGCCCATACGTTATACTTCTCTTTCATGGTGCGCACCGGGAGAATTTTGTTATGTCGCGGACATCATCATATTTTGTTGCACAGTGTGACTGACACTGTTACTGTCATTGCCATGGAGATAGTAGTTTTCAGTCTACACCAACTCTGGCCTGCATTCAGCAGGAAACAGCTGCTTCTGTGGACAGAGCTCCTTGGGAGCTGAGAGCACAACAGCTGGTCAAATTGCCTTCACCAGGCTGACTGACAGCAGACATTTACTAAACCAAAATAGTTTTCAAGTCAGAACCATGGAAAAAAATCAACAGTGTTTGTAGTTATTGATTTTATTAATTATAACATATATACTGCTGAATATTTGTGTGAATTTAAACATCTCTCCGTGCTGATTACACTTCACTAAACGTGACAGAAATTCATTTGGGCCTTAAAAAAAACAGGTCTCTTATTACCATGGAGACCACTGAAGCCTTTCACCCAAGCATAAATTTAAAATGTCATGTTGCTCTTTAATTTCTGTCAAGTGACACTCTTTAAAAGTGTAAAGTGCATTACCATAAATCAGCCATTACAATCTATGCGTACGTTTACTGTCTACCTGGTTCGCTGCTTCTTTTTTAGTGATGGGGAGAGTGCAGCTATTGGTTGTTGACAATGTTCACGTCATTGAACTTCATTATTTGCATGAGCCAAGCCTAAAAACCTTGCAGTAAAATTAAACATGTTTGATTTTGTTGGAGCAACAAGACGGGAAAATGACTGACTCAGTTTTTATTACCACATTGCACCAAACAATCAAGATCAGCAATCAGTTACCGGATTACTACAATTTCTCATGTATACAGGGAATATGAATAATCCAATTTCCCTCTGCCCATGTAAACCTCATATCCAGAATATGATCATAACCGAAAAAGTCTCAGGCTGGATATCTCTCCGTCATCATGTACTCAATTCTCAACCCTTCACTCTGTGACAAAGCTGTCTTTCATCTCCCAAAGCACGTTCCTAACAGCCTCCCACTTCCTCTCTCCCACTCAGTCCAGTCCCTAAGGGCCTCCTAGTTGAGGGCTCGGAGTTCCTGAATGACTCCGCCAAGGTGGGGTTGGTCTCAGGTCTCAACGGTAAATCCAACCAGTGGAGCTTTGAGGAACTCATTGACCTCAACGTCCACTCCAAGACTCGGCCCCTCATTGAGGCCGAGGACTGTAACCAGGTCCTGATCAACTGTGACGGGAGCTCAGATGCCTTCGAGGACAAGGGAACCCCCGTCACCCTGCATTCCTCCAATCAGCCCATAGAAGCCCTGTCAGGTGAGGAGTCACTTACACTTATTCATCTGTTTGGAAATATTGACACAGTCTTCTTAAAATATAACCCTATGTTCCTGTGTCTCCATAGAGATGTGATGCTGCAGCCGTCGCTGAGAAGCCTCTTACCGTTGCACTCGAAAAGTTCCTGTCCAGCTGAGCTCCTTAAAAAAGTTCTCTACCAGTTCCAAACAGCTTCCTCCTCTTTCTCCTCCTCCTCTTCCAGATGGAGGAGCACAAGGTGAAGCGGAGAGACCACCCCAAGTGCTACATTTGCACCCCACATTATGAGGAAACAAATATATTAAAATCATATATATCTAAAGAAAAACAAAACGTAATGCTTCAGGGAAATTCCATTAGTCCTTCAACACACTCGCTTCAGGTCTCTTTCCTCTTCCTCTTGTGTTTAGTTCTCCAGATTTGTTTTTCTATGTCATTGTCCACATTTGATGATGTTTTTTAAGAGTTTGTCTTTGTCAGGGGTGCATTTGTTGTAATTTATTAATTTTGGCTCCTTTGTTATTGTAATTATTGTTATCATATGTTTAGTCTTTTTGTTTTCTCTCGTATGAGAATATTCCAGGACACATGCACATTCGGCTGTGTGAATTGAATATCGTCAGTTAAAGGAAGGAACATTAATACTTTCTGTTCTGTCGGGGGGGTTGGTGGGGATAGCATCCCAGGTTTCGCATGTGATTCATCTAAATTTACTTGACCGGCTGCTTTTCGCAGCATCCAGCAATATGGCCTTCCCATTTTCCCCCAACTTCTAATTCTTAAGTGTGACTCTGCTAAAGTGCTTGTGCTGAAGCTCATTCACGCACAGTTTAGTTCGTCATGTGCTTAACACTTGGGAGTAGATTCTGTATTCATACTCCACAGAGCTCTGTCCTCTCAGGCCCATACTCTCCCAAACTCTCTAACTGTGTGTTTCCTTCTCTGGCCACTAGAGGGCATCAGGAGCACAACTCCAACTGTTACATTTAAATCTGAAGAGTGTTGAGATTCATTCACAACACTAGTGAAATCACATGTTCAGTGAAGTTTCATTAGTTTGTTCATTTAGGGCTCATTAAGGTCTTGTTTATTTTACATATGTTTATAGAATTTATGTTTACTAACAATGTCATTGTTATTTTCATTAGAATCTGAGTTGCATCCAGTTTTAGTCTCATCTCCACCAACTGCATTTGCACCACACAACTGTTTGAATAACCATAGCTGCGACATAGTGTCTTAACAGATTAAGTCCTTTAGTTTCATTACTGGCTGCGTCTGAGCTTCTTAAAGGAAAACTTCACCCACAAAATAATCATTTGTGTATCAGTTGCTCACCTTGTCTGATGAATATTTTTTCTGGCATGCCTCAGGTGACTGACAAATCCAAAGCAGAGAAAATTCTCAATGAATTTAAGTCTAAGGGGTCCATGTTTAACAATATTATTCAGTGGTATGATTGGTGCTTCCCAAATGAAAAGGCTTTTCTAACGGGAACTGAATAATGCTCTCTTCATAGCCAAACTCCATTGACAAAAACAGTAATTTTACCTCGCTGAACACAGGAGCTGCTGGTCTACCACTACCTCTATCAGTTTGTTAGTTTGTGTTATTGTGTGACGTTGGCGTATTAACGGGTGAGTTTTGATTCACCAAAGTCCTACAACACACACAACAAACACAAACTAACTGATCGAGGCAGCGATATACCAGCAACTCCTGTGGTCAGTAATGTAAAATTACTGGTTTTGTCAATGGAGTCTGGCAAGAATTTCCTTCGTCTTTAAAATCTTCGTAGAGGAGGCTTGTGAGAAAAAAGTTCTCTCTGCGTATTCAACATGACGTGAGTTGAGTAATTGATAAAGAAATGATCATTTTAAGGGTGAATTATTCATAAACACAGTTTGCGTTTGTTACTGAACTGAACTCAAATGTTTGGCTGAAACTAAAAAATCAGGTTTTCAATTATCTGGTTTTAACTTGAGATTTACCAACACATCCACACACACTCCTCCATCCATCCTCCATCCCTCTGTCCGTGCAGCTCTTTCATCACCTACACTTATTTCTCATTATTATTAACAGTCATTGAAAATTCCCAACACACTAGCTGCTACATCCCAGTAAAACACATTTCAATTATTTTTATAATATAAAATTTGGCTGTTTGTTTATATATGAAAATACATTTCTACATATATTTAAGTGTTATTGCATTGTGTATATAATCAGTATTAGGCAAATGAAGCCATGTGTAGGACGGAGTGGCGTCAGGATGTGGATCATTGAAGTCTCTGTGTATGTGACTGTGCTATATGTTAGGTTTCTGTTTGACTCGTGCCCTGCGACGGGGTAGTCAGGTTACGTTTGGGCAGCCTGGAAAAATTTAAATGAAGCCCTTATCCACACAAGCTCTGCAAAAAAAAACAAGGGGCCAAGTGGGGACCCACAATGTGTTTCTAAAAATCTGTTGTATTTGTGTGTATGTTTGAGAGCTTTCAGCCTCATATCCCCAAACCCTGATCCTGAATACTGCCTCACAGAGACTTAACACATTTTGATGACGAGTTGTTCCAGCCCTCAGCAACATGTCTGACCCATGATGAGAGTGAAGGCTGTGCCTCTTTGTGACGCTTTTAATTCATCAACATATGTTTTATATGATGTGAAAAGATGTGGGGATGTTGTCGGATAGTTTTGGTAGGCATATCAGCTCAGGTCTTAACTGTTCTTCGAGGCAGGGTACATCCACAAAACAAAATATGACATGGGTCAGACTTTTCTTTCTCTTTTGGATTTTTCATGAACTGTATTGAAATCTTGAAATTCCCGATGCTTGGACAGTCCAAGCACGAGGTTTGGGGACCTTGATTTTTGCCTTGTTCTCTCTGCTGGCTAACTAAAAATCTCTTTGTACATAAAGACTAGGGGCTTTAGATCTTAGCTTTGATTAATAAGCTTAAAGAATGTAACAGACTCCATAAACCGTCCTCCATTATTTACTGTGTCTCTGAGCTTTTTGGCTTTCATCCATTATTCATCTAGAAAACATGAGACTTTGCACTGTCACAAATTACTCGCTATGTTTAGAGAATGGTTACTGGGAACAGAAGGAGCTTTACTGTACAGACTCGTAGGAGAGTTGTGTGATATTCTGGTGGAAAGTAATTTGTTCCTTCCCAGATGTTCTAGAAGTCTCATACATAACCCAAACCTTTCCTACTCCTCTTTCCACTCATGAGTAGCACATGTTGGGGAGGCTGTTGTAGCTGCTGCTTGAACAGATACTGTATCTATTCCAGGTCCTGCTGCATCTTTGAGGGCTCGAGTAGAGCTGACTGCTCTGAGTCCACAAAGTTGTCTTTAACAATAGGATAGAAACGGTGCCTTAGATTGAGATTTAGTATTTTTATTGTATCACAGTTAACTAAGAAAGCTTGTCCTTACCTCGGCCTCGACAATCAGTCTACCCAACCAGGGCAACTTTGTGAATATGAATATTTCTCTGGAAGATTTACGAACCTAACAAAGCCCTGTCCACAAGTAAGATTTGTACTGTAAATATATCTAAAGTGTACTGAGATGATACAAACTGTTAAAACAAATAAAGTCTTGCAAAAACACTCCTTTGCCATGTTTTTAATTTGTTGCTGTGGAGAGAAAACAGACTTTACATCACTTTCTCCTTCTATTCTTTTTACATTTAGCGTCACTCAAAGTCTTGAATACACGAGCAGTTAATATTTCAGCGTCACTCTCAACAATCTAACTTTAAATTCACTCTGAACAGTTTTTTTTTTTTAAATTCTGATAATCCGTTCAAACATGAATATAACAGATTATTAATCAAAGCCAGTATGTATGAGCAGCTGTATGCATGTAAAAAGCACAATTCTCTCTGAAAGATTCCAGTAAGGCACTGAAAAGGCTTTTGTCTTATAAAGCATCACAGAATCCTGGATTAGATTAGACTAATAGTGCACATTGCAATCCCAAAAAAGAAATCCTGCTTGCCATGTTAGTATCCAACACTTGAAACAAGTTCCACTAATGCATATGTAGATAAATGACTCAAGCTAGTGCATGTTTAGTTGATATAACCTCTGCTCTTGTCAACCTCAAAGAGGAGCTTCACCAAAACTGACAATTCTGACATTTTTTCAAACACAATAACATTTCTGTTATTTTGAGGGTTGATATTCACTCCAAAAATGTGCATTCTCATACAAATCAACAGTAAAAGTCAGTTTTGGTGCAATTCCACTTTAAACAGCGACTATCTGCACAGCTGATCGTGCAGTTCACACTTTCTTAGCGCAGTCAGGGCAGTAGATGTGATCTCCACTGATGACAAAGCGCTTGTTGGCCAGCGAGAGGCTGCACTTTTTGCAGTTGAAGCAATACTCATGCCAGGAGAATCCCTCATAGTTCACCACATTGGTGCCATGGCCAAACCCTGTGGAGACAACGACAGAATGTCAGTCAGTGCAAGACAGTTGATGTCTGAAACTACAAAATGATTTTCCCTTAATCCCACCATGCAGTCTGCATATGTTCAAGAAAATCCTGGTAAATGTTTGCAACAGAAGTCTTATCAGCATCTGTTTTGTGCTGCCCTGACCTGTGATTGGGTTCTTGCATCCATGGCACTTCTTGGCCACATCAGTCTTGAAGCAATCCACACAGTAAACGTTGTTCTCATGAGAAGTGAAGCGAGCTGCCGCCAGAGGTTTACGGCAGGTGTGGCACACAAAACACTCAGAGTGCCAGGGGTGGTCCTGGTAGCTGATCCCTCCAGAGGTGATGGGCTGAGAACAACAGAAGGACACTCTTATCATGATGTCAGACACTACAGGGCTGAAATATTAAAGATTCTCATAGAAGCAAACTAACTGCACCAGAGTTTTTTTTTAATCATAGTATGGTATGTCATAAAAATATCATAAAACACTCATAGTATAGTATGCCATGAAAATGTCAAAAATGGTCATAGTAAAGCATGTCATGAAAATATCATAAAATACTCATAGGTATAGTATGTTATAAACATATCATAAAAACAATCATAGTGAAGTCAGTCATAAAAATGATTAGAGTATAGTATGTCATAAAAATGTCATAGTATAGTACGTCGTCCAAAATCATGGAAAAAAGTAACTGTATAGCATGTCGTCTAAAATCATGAAAAAAAGTCATAGTATAGTACGTCGTCCAAAATCATGGAAAAAAGTCATTGTATAGCATGTCGTCTAAAATCATGAAAAAAAGTCATAGTATAGTATGTCGTCCAAAATCATGGAGAGATGTCATAGTATAGCATGTCGTACAAAATCGTTGAAAAAAGTCAAAGTATACCATGTTGTCCAAAATGATGGAAAAAAGTCATAGTATAGCATGTCGCCCAAAGTCATGGAAAAAAAAGTCATTGTATAGCATGTCGTCCAAAATCCTGAAAAAAACTCAAAGAATAGTATGTGGTCCAAAATCATAAAAAAAAGTCATAGTATAGCATGTCGTCCAAAATCATTTAAAAATAAAGGTCATAGTATAGTATGTTGTCCAAAATCATGGAAAAAAGTCATAGTATACCATGTTGTCCAAAATGATGGAAAAAAGGTCATAGTATAGTATGTCGTCCAACATCATGAAAAACAGTCATAGTATAGCATGTCGTACAAAATCATTGAAAAAAGTCATAGTATACCATATTGTCCAAAATGATGGAAAAAAGTCATAGTATAGCATGTCGTCCAAAGTAATGGAAAAAAAAGTCATAGTATAGTATGTCGTACAAAATCATTGAGAAAAGTCATAGTATACCATGTTGTCCAAAATGATGGAAAAAAGTCATAGTATAGCATGTCATCCAAAGTCATGGGAAAAAAAGTCGTAGTATAGCATGTCGTACAAAATCATTGAGAAAAGTCATAGTATAGCATGTCGTCCAAAATCATGAAAAAAAGTCATAGTATAGCATGTCGTCCAAAATCATAAAAAAAAGTCATAGTATAGCATGTTGTCCAAAATCATGGAAAAAAGTCATAGTATAGCATGTCGCCCAAAGTCATGGAAAAAAAAGTCATTGTATAGCATGTCGTACAAAATCATTGAGAAAAGTCATAGTATAGTATGTTGTCCACAATCATGAAAAAAAGTCATAGTATAGCATGTCGTCTAAAACTCTAAAAAAAAGGTCATAGTATAGTATGTCGTCGTAAATCATGGAAAAAAGTCATTGTATAGCATATCGTCCAAAATCATTGAAAAAAGTCATAGTATAGCATGTCGTCCAAAACCATAAAAAAGTCATAGTATAGCATGTCGTCTAAAACCCTAAAAAAAAAGTCATAGTATAGTATGTCGTCGTAAATCATGGAAAAAAGTCATTGTATAGCATGTCGTCCAAAATCATTGAAAAAAGTCATAGTATAGTATGTTGTCCAAAACCATAAAAAAAGTCATAGTATAGTATGTCGTCTAAAATCATGAAAAAAAGTCATAGTATAGTATGTCATGTTCTTTAAAAGCATTCATCAAGATATGTCTTGTGTCAAAAAACATCCTTACAAAGGTCATTGGACATGTCATAAAGTCTCCTTAAAAAGGTATTATAAAGTTTGTCATGAAAAATGCATAAGATAAATCAAACATAATATATTATGATAGAACCTTTTTTTTTTTTTTAAATGTCCTAAAAAAAGTCATAGTACAGTACTTAGTTCACAGGCCAAATGTGGCGCTCGGACATATTCTGTATTGCCTCTGTATGTGACATGACATGCATTCATTGTATTTTTTCATTTAGGGTCCATTTCAATACTTTCATTTTTAAAAGCTTACATTTACATTACACCATTGGTTGCACCTTGCCAATGTTGCAGGAATTATGTTTTCAACAGTGATGACGCTTGTGAGCTGAAGTTAGTGATTTTGGGAGACATCTAGCAGATTTATCTGGAAGTGTGTGGGAAAAGATATTTTGTTTCATGTGTGAGTTTTCTTGTGCTGCCTTCAATCATATGCTGGCTCCCTGAAGTGGCACTCAGTCATCAAATCTTTGAAATCCCTGCTGTAGATGATACACCATCAGTGTTTGTACCTGCTTGCAGTGGAAGCATTTCTTAGCAAACTTCCTGTCATGGCAGGGAGCACAGTAGATGTCATCTCCCTTGGTCAGGAAGCTTTGTGTGCGGATCGGCTGCTTGCATTCAAAGCAGGTGAAGCATTCCTCGTGCCACACCTTGTGCTTGTACTCCACGTTCTGGGAGCCTAAAAAACAAACATAAAATGTAGTGTTAATGTTTTGAAATTACTTTCTTCCACATTGTCTGACATTATCATATATACAGTATTTTTCATCAGCTTGCACCGTCATGTAGTTGAAGTTTTATGAGGCTTATCCTGAGTGAAATAACCAGCTTTTTATGACTGTACCTTTCCATTAAATTGAAATATTCTACATGTGTTGTGCATAATTTATTTTATACATATCTGAAAATTGTAACCCATTTTGGAAACTTTAGGCTCTCCAGTAGCATTGCTTGTTGAGGGGTAATAAATAACCTCTATTCATGGGCACTTGATTCAGTTACACAGTGCTTTATTTGAAGCAAAACAATATCATAGATAGGTTGAAACAGAGGTCATGTGCAGCAAAACAGTATTACAAAAAAAGCAGATGTAATAAGAAATAGGAAAACATTATAGATTTAATAAACATTGACCTCTTTCTTTAAAGCCCCTAAAAACTTTCAGATGCTACTTATTTGTGTGAAACATGAAATATTTGTGACTAACCAAGCAAAAAGTTAAGTTTATCCTGTACTTATTAATCTGCTTCAGGACTGCATGTTTGTTTGATCAGATTTAGTAAACAGTAATGAGAAAAATTTTGCAAACTTACCTGGCATGACCACCTTGTAGCAGCCCTGGCAGCGGTTGCCATCCTCCCGAGAGCCACACTTGCCGCACATTATCTTGCCATCATCCCTGGCGCTGAACGGCTCGCTGGCCAGCGGCTTGTAGCACTTGGCACAGCGGAAACAGTCCTCATGCCAGTAGCGGTTCTTATGGTGCAGCTCCTGGAACACAAAGAGGAGGCTTGGGGTGAGCAGAGGTGCCCTCACTAAGTCCTCATACAGACCTCATTACAGTGGAGTTTGTTTACTCATCATGTGGACTGAGGCTCATGGCCAGAGTACAGAACAAGCCCATGTGGCAGGTGTTAAAGTGGAGATGAAGTGAACTGGGACGTGGTGAGCCATGAAGGAGTTAGGGGACTTAGATGGTGGGAATGCAATAAAGTATTTAAGTCTCATTAGTAGGAATCGCACATCCTTTCACCCATTCAACTGCCTGTGACTGAGTGCTGAGATGATCTGGGCTGCAGACGCCACTGCTGGATGGCAGACAAGTTGTAGAACAGCTTGAGACTGAGGGCTCTCCGAACAGATGCACATAGATACATCCTATCGATCATACAACACCCATATAAGACATCTTAAAATTCAAGGTGAATGAGACACTTTGACATGTTGCAAAAAGCAGGTGTAAATAATAAAACTGATGATGGCTGAATGTCATATATCTGCTTCAGTGTCAGGGTTCTGGTATTGTTAATGTTGGCTCAGTGTCACACTGCCATGGGTTACTGGAATATTCAAATAAAACAGAGCCATTGTTAGTGTCATAAGTCAAACTGACTAATGTGAAAAAAAGCAAACGAGTAGACCATAAATTAAAGGTCTATGATTTAGGGGCATGTACTGGCAGAAATGCTATGATGCTATCATGACTATATTTTCATTATTGTATAATCACCTTAAAATAAGACCTGTGTTTTCATTACCTTAGAATGAGCTGTTTATATGCAGAGTGGCTGCTCTTTCGCAGAGACTGCCATGTAGCTTTGCAATGGCCCAAAATGGACAAACCAAACATTGGCTTGAGATAGGGCCATTCACATTTTTTGGTTTTTAGTTCAGTCAAAGTAGTTCTCCTACATGCTTGGCACATGAGAGAAGTTTTAGTTGGATGCAGTCCGCAACCTCACCACTTGATCCCATTAAATCCTACAGACCTTTAAATTTAGTGCATTTAATGTGACATCAGAATATTCATTCTAATGTAGTCCTTGACATCTGTAGAAATCCATAGAGTCAAATAATTAATATAGAGCTACTTATATCATGATTGCCAGTAAAAGGCCAGGTAAATAATTTTAAGGTTAGTTGTTTTTTGGGGGGAGGTGACATTGTTGTCCATTGAGAACTATGCATCTCCAGATATGGTGGTTTTTAATCTTCCATATAAACTGAAGTATTATGTGTTGTTAAGCATTCCTTTATGGATTCTTAAACTAAATAAACAATTTAAAACCCTATTATCTGAAAACTTAAAACAAGGCTGTTGTTTTTATCTTGGGAAAAGTCCATGTTTCCATCTCCTATCTTCAGAACGTGTATTTATGGGTATTTTCACAAAAGAAAAAATACTAACTACCATACAAAGCAGGATAAACAAACATTTTTCTTTGAGAAATTACAGTTTACTCTTTGTTTGTACACATTAAGTATGTTGTATTATTTTTTTTCTGTTTAGCATTTTTTAAATGGTGAATAAAATATCATATGTCAAACATAATTTGTTGTTTTTGTTGTTGTTGTTTGATGTTTTGTCACTCCCTCCTTCACTCATTCATTCATTTTCTTTCACTCAGACAAACTGTGTCCTCACCTTGGCGTCAGCACCAATAGGGCGCCTGCACTCTGCGCAGGTGTTGGCGCAGATCTTATCAAAGCACTTGGTGCACACGTGCTTGTCCTCCTTCTTCACATATTTCTTCCCGTGCAGGTTGTCCCGGCAGTAGTAGCAGTCAAAGCGGTCAGTCATGGTGGAGGTGAGGTAACTCCTGGGACCTGTGGAAAACACAACAGGCTGTCAGACTTACAGAGCTACTATCCTCCCTACGTGACTGTGTTTCCTTTAGACACCAGATGGGGACAGTGTTGCCTTTTCTATCATCCTCATGACTCTCTGAGCAACACAAGTCAATAAATGCATTGATTTATAGAGCACTTACAACACTGTACAGTTGATTAAAAGTGCTTTGCAGCACAAAAGAAATGAGGAACAAAAATCAGCATTTAATGATCAGAGCTTGATGAACAGCACAACCATGCCCAAGGCAGTTACTGTAAATCTGATCTCCAAATCAAATCTAGGCAGAAATTGGATTAAGTATATTTTTATGTGTTTTCCTTTTTACATTAGAGAGACATAGGGAGATGCAGCTCTAACAGCAGCATACCAAACTGATGAGAGAAGTGTGAGTGAGGTTAGAAAAGTAGCCAGCCCACAGATGTCTGCTTGTTGTCTGCGTTCTTTCTGGCCTGCGGACTTTTTATCAAGCTCTCCCTGGAAAGCTTAGCTCATATTTTTAGATCATCTGGCTCATTTCCTTCACCTTCCATTTTGAAGACCTCCCCCCGTGAGTCCAGCCCACGCTCTCTGTCTTTTGTCTTTTGTCTGCATTTTAGTCAGGTCATTTTATTGGCTGTTAGAGTAAACACTGAGTCGCGTCTTCATTCATCAACATTCCTGCGCTCCCATAACAGGCAGCGTCCACTGGGAGCACAAGTTTCCTGGAACAACTGTGCGTAGGATGGAGTGTGTGGATGCTTTATCTACATCACTTTAAGGCTCCTCTTTCTCTCTCACACAGAGAGAGCAGCTGAGGAGTGTGTGAACTTTAGCAAAAGTGATTTATATGTCTGTTTAATCCAATAAGCACAAATGGATGAAACAATGGGTGGAATGGCATTTTTGTCCTTGTAGCCGTAGGAACAAAGAAAATATTTATGTAAGGGGACTACAGCTATTTAAGTGGGATGTGGTAAACAACCGTGCTAAAGACATGAGCCTCCTGGAGCGTGGTATGTGCCCCCGGTGTGCGTGTGTGTGTGGATGGTTAGATGGGAGAGGAGTTTCTATCTGCAGCTGTGCTCAGGGATAAAGTACTGGACTGAGCCCTCACACGCCCCGCTCCGCCTACACTCACCTCCTATGGAACCAAAGCAGGAAAAAACCCACCCAGTCCAACACTGTCAAATCACACACACACAATGCTTGGGTGTCATTACTGAGCCCCGCCAGCCTAGAGGTCTATTTTAGATATGGACTTTCTATTTAAAGCATATTGACCTTCCAGAGGGGACAAATGGAGAGGGATGGAGAGTGATGACTACTGGGACTGCACAGCCATTGTGGTTCCAGTTGATACGAGTCCAGTAACTTTAATCTTTTGTTACAGACAGTGTGACAGCTGCCCCCTGTCAAACAGGCATGGTATGTACAGACTCTCAGCTGTGGAGGGCAGCGGAGTATACCACCGAGGTCCCTTTGGGTCACAAGAAAGGTCAATGTGAGCTCAGTTTGAGAGGTGAGTCAGAGCGGTATGAGATGATCAAAGGCAGAAAGACCTCAACAGCATATCAGCCAAATCAACAGCTAACTTACTGTTCTCTCTGGAAAGTAGGCCTCATGCAAAATCAGGTCATTTAAATATAATCACTCATCTTGCTGTCTTGCATCTTGAGTTATAACAAAACTAAAAGAATAAAGTGCAATGAAAACTCTGGAGCAGGATGTTATGTAGCCTTTCTCTGATATGCATCAAGAAAACAGGAAGAGAGCGCTACATGTTAAAAGATTTCTGCTTCAACACAACACCATCATGTAGCTACCAAAGTTCATTTGACTGCAGAAAAAGGTTCAATCATCCTACCCATGAGGAAAAAAGGCTTCAATGAACTTTCAGGCCCTACTTAAATAAATACTACTGAAATACTTCCTCAAATTCAGGCATTTATCGTAACGCATTTTACCAGAAAAACATAATGTAGTTTAATCTAAATGAAAAAATAAGTAAACAGTTCTCCCAGACCTGAGAAGTTTTAGATTTTAGATTTGGACATTCAGGCCTTAAAGCTGGTCATTTAGCTTAGAGTTCACCTTTGAGCCTAGATTATATCTTACATACAGTATGGTTACACATTTCATTGGGCAGTCTTCTAAATTTAATTTTTGCATTGGTTGCACTGGTGCGCCTAAATTTTTCGGTAACAGCGCAGAAAAACAAAATGCAGGATCCGTTTCTTTTCGTTTTTTTTTTAACACACACTAGTGCAAGTGTCAAAGACAGACAAAATTCTCTCGCTGGGGACTGACATTATTTTGCCTACTGGCAACTTTGGTAAACAAAAAATAAGGAACATTGCAACACATCTCTATTACACAGCCCAAACACTGAACAAACACTTTCCATGAAGGCAACAGGTCACAGCAGGCCATAACATCGAGGAGCGTCTCTTACGATATGAAATTGAAAATACAAAATAAATATAGTAACAAAAATAAAACTTGCATTAGATGGAGTCTTACAATTAGTTCCACCTTGGCTATTTGGACAATAATAAAAAAATCCTTGAACCACACTCTAGTAGAAAACACTTATTCTCAAGCAGATAGACTGAAGGATTAAGTGTTCCTTTGTGGGCACAGAAAATTCTCCTCTTTGTCAGGCTGGATAAAACATTTAAATGCATTGTCACAAGGCTGAAAAGCTGCTTTTCTAAACTCATAAAAGTTGATGTTCTCACAGGGAAGCGTATCATGTTAAAAATCATTTTACAAATTCACTTCAGCACTTCCTGAGCTGTGATAACAGCAGACAGGTTTTACAGTGTGTACCTAATAACTGATAACACATTCAGTAACTTATTAGCATCTAGTATGACACCTTCTTCTGTTTTTACCTGAGTGTCTGTAGAAAGCCATGATTCCAGTTAGGAGGGAAAGAGGAAGGAGCAAAATAAAGACAATACAAGAACAGGCGGAGACAGTAGCATCCACCGAGGGTCAAGCACAGAGACCACATGCCTGGTCAAGTTATGGGGGGCTGTATATACCCATCTGTGACCCAAACACACCCCAAACCCCACATCCAAATCCACTCCTAACCCTTCACTCCTTTTTAGGGGATGCATTAGAGAATAGAGCGGATGAGAGAGAGTACGAGGGGATAGATTAGGTGATAGAGATTGGAATCCACTGCTGTAACATCAGAAGGTAAAAAAAAAGAAGCTTTTGACTGATGGCCATCAGGGATAAAAGATACTCCCACTGCCCCGACATAAAATGTTTTGTTGGAGTGCTCAGGACATGTACAGATGACATGCCGGATCACTTAACATCATAACTTAAAGGGATGACTCACAGGATGAGTGAGTTGGTATTACTGACTGAGCTGAGGAGAGACAAAGTGTGGTGGAGTGTTATCTAAGTATTGCTTCTTGTAGCTCCATATCTGTGCATGTTTGTATACATATACGTCACAATCAGGAAGATAATGTGGTATGCTCACAACCAAACTGTAAAGTGAGCCGGAGTAGAGTATTTCAAAATAGGGGGGGGGGAATTACTGTCAGTGATGAATTTTCATCTTGGTTATCCTAAAGCTACAGGAAACACCCGGTGCATTCCTGATGGAAAAGCAAAAAGGCGTCATGATTACTCTCCTCTCTTTAAAATGAATGCTCCAACGGTGAAATGTTTTCCTCATCCATCAGTGCTTAATCTACTCAGACTGACAACAGCTATCAATGATGTTAATGGAACAGTTCATCCCAAAGTCAGAAACACATATTTTTCCTCTTACCTGTAGTGCTATTTATCAGTCTGGATTGTGTTGGTGTGAGCTGCAGAGTGTTGGAGGTATCGGCTGTAGAGATGTCTGCCTCCTTTTCTCTCAAATATAATGGAACTAGATGGCACTCGGCTTGTGGTGCTCAAAGCGCCAAAAAAATACATTAAAAAAATTCACAAGCAACATCTCTTTGCAGAAATTATGATGCAGTTACTCAAGATAATCCACAGACCTTGTTGTGAGCAGTTTCATGTAGGAACTATTTTCTACCGAACTACATCCACCAACCGTATCACCATGCAGAAGGAAGAGTGCATCTACTGCTGGCTCACCCAGCACCACTGAGCTAGCTAATGTTACAGCTCAGCCAAGAAAGACACCATTTATGTTTACGTTTCATGCTGTGAGTAGATGCACATGTCCTTCTGCATGGTGATACAGTTGGTGGGTGTAGTTCGGTAGAAAGAAAATAGTTCCTACATGAATCTGCTCACAACAAGGTCTGTGGATTATCTTGAGTATTCAGGTCAAGATTTCTACAAAGAGACATTGCTGTTGAGTTTTTCAAATGTTTCTTTTTGGCACTTTGAGCACCACAAGCTGAGTGCCATCTAGTTCCATTATATTTGAGAGAAGGCAGACATCTCTACAGCTGATATCTCCAACACTCTGCTACACACACCAAAACAATCTAGATAAATAGCACTACAGCTAAGAGGAAAAAGTGAATTTTTGATTTGGGGGTGAGCTGTCATTTTATGGTTATTATAATTAACAAGTTTCAGCCAAAAGTCTTAAAATTCCAAAGTCAATAATAAATACTCAGGCTAATTACAAATAACCAGCTTTTTGGAACTTTAAAATCCCACTGAAAAGCTCAGGTATTCTTTAATACATGTAATTAGACCTGCATTAACAGATTTTATGGCCACTTTGGGGGCAGCCGAAACAACTTGTGAACAGAACATTGACTCATTACCACCTTCTAAGTTGATGTGGTGAACTTAATAGCAAATTCACACATCTAGCAGATACAAAGCAATATAAGCATTAATTTAAAATATTGCTTTTGATCATCTGATAAGTGTAAGTCCAATACCTACTCTCCGTTAAGCTCTGTTTTTGGTCTCTACCATAGACTTCAAAAATAATTGACGTAGCCACTGAAACTTCACCCACTGGTTTATGAACTCCTGCTTTGAAGCCTTAATTTTGGCTGTTTTCATCGTGAATTTTAGGAGACAGATGTAACCTAATTTGGATGAGAAGGCGGAACTAACCCTAACGCTAGCACTAACGCAAACTTTTGCTGGTAAAAAAACAGGCTTAAACCCATTAAAGCACAATGTGCTTACTGGAAAAAACTGAACATCCGACTCCTTAAAAGGTCTTTTGGCACAATAACACACTGATCAAGTCTTTTTTAGTTGCCCTAATCATTACAATTAGCTTTCTTGAACTGACAACGCTCTGAAGAAGTGACAGCTACGGCTTCGTCTACACTCTGTGAATCTGGGGTTACGCCATGGTTACATCAAAGCTGGTTAAAGAGGTTACTTAACCATTGTTGTCGCTGTTGGGGCAACTTGCCAACAGATGGCACCCGAAAGCAGCCACGCCCTTAATTATGTATAACTTCAAGTCTTATCAAAATGTTAACTTAGTTCATCCCAAATACAGTTGTCATATACAGGGGACTTAGCTCTAGAGACCCAACCCATTGTTTGAACCAGGCTGTTAACATATTTATTTGTCCTGTAAAGTTGGGCATTCTAACATGAGGGTCTATAGGGACTGACTCACTCAGGGAGCCAGCCTTAAGTGGTTATTCAAGGAACTGCAGTTGCTGAGGTTGTTCCTTGGTCTCTACAAACTCTTGAAATATTTGGCTCTTTAGTTGCTAAATGCTCCACTAGGTTCACCAGCTGGTCACTAACTGAGTCTGTCTTACTAAAAAACAAGCATGAGGCATGAGAGTGAACCTAAAGAGTAAAGCTGTGGGCTGGAAAAACCGAAACAGTGAGCTGAAAGAAGCTTAAAAGTTCTGCAGAGCTGCAGGGAATAGCACAGTCAGATGATCTGTGGGTTCGTCACTGCTATCAACACGTTTCACATTACATGTAGTCATCTAAGCCATCCATCCATCCATCGTTATTATACACATACTGATTATAGCTGCTTTAAATGCAGTTAAATATTACATTCTATTACTGCCAAATAACAATCAAGATCAAACCCATCATGATCATCATCTACTCTACAGTGGAGTAAATGCTCCACAGATGGCACTTTACTCTGATTGGTTTGGGCCTTTAGAGTCAGACGAGCTTAAATAAAGAAATATATGATCATAACGGGAATTAGAGGAGACTGGAAGCCTCAGGAGACAGGACATAAATTAGTTAGACTCATGATATATACCCAGACCTCAGTCAGGAACCGTAATATTTTCCTTTTAAAAACTCATCCCTTAACTATATTAAATAAGCGTCTTCATATGTCAGACATAAAACAAATCAATGCAGTTAGCCTGTGTGTGTGTTTGTGTGCTCAGTCGTATAAAGGGCATCTGGTTGTAATTACAGATTTGATTTGGTCCATTACCATGGAACATAGCATCGAGTTTGTCCTTTTCTAATCTGTCACACAATTACCCTAAACTCACAAAGACTAATTAATGAGCAGGAAGGCGCCATGACTCCCGGCCTTCAAAAACCTCCCTAGTCCACTCTGCGTTACAACAGGACATCTGTTCTTCCTCCTCTTTTCTGTTACACTCATGTTAACATTCAGATCGTTCTTCTTTTAAATGTTTTAATCTCTGATCAGACACTTTGTCTCCCTTCATTTCACATCTCTCTATCATGCCAAGATGCATTTCTCTCTACTTCCATCACTCACAGTGTTGAATTAATGACGATTTTGACAATTAGAGGTGGAGCAAGTGGAATAATGATGGTGATGATGGTGACTGTTGAACAGAAAAATGATGATGAGGATAATTAGGAATAATTGAGCGTGTATCTTACAAATATCTCAGAAGTCCAATTTTATTGGGCAGGAGCATTCAGAAGATAAATATACAGTGCATAATGCAGAGTAAGCAATTCTACGTCCTTTAGTTAGCAAAGTACTGCTGGAACTGATGGAAGAACCATTAGCATTAGCATTAGCATCGTCTGAGCAAAGGGAGGGTGTTGAAAGTTTTTGAATGTGCAGAGTATATATATCATAAGTTTATGACAACAAATACCTCTCAGCAAACTAAAAAAAAAAATACTAAAACAAGAAAAACAAACTAGTTCCCAACACAATTTTACGGTCTGAGAGACACTTCCAGGAATTTTGGTGTTCTATAAACTGTACGTATGTAAAAGGTCTATGCTGGGTTATCAAGCATGTAATTTGTGTTATCCAAATATCAGATGTTTTCTGAGGTGTGAGGTGGCACACATTACTGTAATAAATTATATCAAATATCAAAATTGAGAAATCTGTAATTTTAGTGGTAGTCATAGTAGTTTGTTTTCTCAAATATGAATAACAGCAAAATCCATCTGTGTTGGTCAAAGTTTCTCATGCTGCATTCAGTTACTATTTTATTATCTAATAATGTCCTTCAGATCACATGTATTTGAGCAGAGTTTCTCATCAGGAATAGGAGGGGATAGTGTATGGCGTGACACCTGGGCAAGATGGCCGCCAAGCAGCAGACAGCAGCAGACCACTGTTGAAGACCACCAAAGGCAAGTGTTCTTTAACAGCAGGTCCAAACACTTCCAGCCATGTTTGCAGCAACATAAGTCGGTATTTTTTAAAGAGAATTCTGGAAATTTCCGTTCATTTTTGCAGCGACCAAATCGGATATTTTGAGCCAAAACATTTAGTTTTTCTAACCCTAACCAAGTGTTTTTTGTGCCTGAACCTACTCACACATTACCAACAGTGTTGTCACAACATAAAATTGAAAATTGAAGTGTAAACAAATGTAAAATTTCAACACATCTGCTACATAGCCTGTGTCAGTGGTTCCCAACTGGTGGGTCACAGTCCAAAAGTTGGTCGCGCCTCCATGCTGAATGGACCGCAAGTGACTCACGAACGTGTCAAGTTTGTAAAAACACACTTTATTTTTGAAGTACAGTGAATTTCTGGCTCAAGCTTTTATTTTGAAGCGGAAATTTCTGTTGTAGAGTGAGTAAATAATAGATAGCTACTTAACAGAGACAGCAAACTAGCTCGACTTTGTGGCC